ATCTGAAGGTTCCAGCAGGTTCGTATGATGATTTCGGACTTGGGCGTATGCCCGGTGCGGGTTTTGGATAACCCGGGAGTGTTTTGGCGCCTATTGTGGAAGTTAGCATTTTTGAAGAATTTCATGAGTTTGGGCTTGAAGTGCATTTCAGTGTTATCAATGTCCGTTTGGGATTTCGAGTCTGTGAATGGCTCCGTATGGTGATTCTGGAGTTGGGAGCGCGATCGGAAGTGAATTCGGAGGTCCGTAGGTCATTTTGGAGTCATTTGGCTAAAGATAGAAATTTGAAGGTTTTTGAGAAGTTTGACCGGAGGTGGACTTTTTGATATCGGGGTCAGAATCCGATTCCGAAAGTTGGAGTAGGTCCGTAATGTCGAATATGACTTGTGCGCAAAATTTGAGGTCAATCGAACGTGATTTGATAGGTTTAAACATCGGAAATAGAAGTTTGATATTCTAAAATTCATTAAGTTTGGATTGGGGGTTAATTCGTGATTTTAGCGTTGTTTGATTTGATTTGAGGCCTCGAGCAAGTCCGTAATGTGTTTTGGGACAGGTTAGCATGTTTGGTTGGGGTCCCGGGGGCCTCGGGTGAATTCTTGGTGGCCAACAGATCGAAAATGGATTTTTGAGAAAGCTGAAGCTACCTGGGTGCTGGTATTTCCGCTTCTGCGGAAAAGGGACCGCAGAAGGGGCCCCGCAGAAGCGGAATTGGTCGAAGGCTCGTAGACCGCAGATGCGGTCAAGGATCAGCAGAAGGGGACCACATCTGCGGAAGGGATATCGCAGGAGCGGAAGGGGCAGCCAAGGGTGAGACCGCAGATGCGGAATATTGGCCGCACCTGCGGAACCGCAGAAGCGGCAGAGGAGCCGCAGGTGCGGAAGTCGCTGGGCAGATTGTTTTAAAAACGGGGTCGAGTTCTTTTCACTCATTTTCTTCACTTCATTGGGCGATTTTTAGAGAGCTTCAAGGAGATATTTTGTCATCCATGTTAAGGTAAGTTACCCCTACTCATTTCCAAGTTAAATACAAGATTATATCATGGAATTAGGCATGAAAATTGTGGGAAAAATTGGGATTTTTGGAAGAAAACCTAGAACTTGATAAATTGGATTTTACCACGAATATGAGCATGGAATTAGGAGTAAATTATATATTTAAGCTAGTGAAGCTATGGGTAGAGTATATCTTCGAGAAATTTCGGAATCCGGGCAGGCCCGAGGGCATTTTGGTCATTTCACTAAGAGGAGTTGGGGATTTGTATAATTTGAATTATTAACAAGTATTCGAGTATATTCTCATTAGTTTGCCGTTATTTGGATAGTTTCGGAACATTTGGCAACGATTCGAGTCGTCGGGAATGCTTGGAGGCCGTTTATGGATCTTCGGAGCGAGGTGAGTCTCCTTTCTAACCTTGTAAGAGGGAATTGTCCCCATAGGTGAAATAATTGATTATGTGCTCCTAATTGCCGGGGCTACGTACGTACGAGGTGACGAGAGTCCGTGTGTAGCTACTATTATACTATTGTCCGGGTAGTTAGGACCCACAACATGTTATACTTGGATTATTTATGAACCCATTGATAGCTTGGATTGCTTAAATCACCTTGGATTAGTAAATGAATTTAAAAGGAGATTGAACATCATTTTCCTGAATTGTTAAGAAAAGGAATTGTTTTAATTGGATAAATATTCCCGATAAGTTCTTCATTGACTGATTGAACATGTATCTCTATGTGTACCTGCGTCGCATGCATGATTCGCGAGCAGGGTATGTGTTTATTTATGGAACGGGCCGAACGCCTCGGCAGATTAAATAGATGCATCTATAGGCGCGCTGTCGACCCTCGGCAAGTGCACAGTTTATTTCTGTTGGATCGGGTCATCGCCTCGGTGTGATTTGCGCATATTATATTGTTGCTTGAGAACTTTAAATGTGAAATTTGCCCTTCGTGGCTTGATACAAATTGATAAGATAATAAAGAGGAAACCCTGAAAATCCTTGATTATTTGTTGAAGGTGTTTATCTGTTTTTTGGCTTCGTGAATTAGAACCGCTATATAAATCCATGATTTCCTCACATTTTTAGTATATTGTCAATTGACCTCTAGTAAGTGTCGAAGTTGACCATCTCGTTTCTACTTCTTCGAGACTAGGCGGGATACTCATTGAGTACACGTTGTTTACGTACTCATACTACACTTCTGTGCATTTTTGTTGCACAGGTATATTTATTTCTACCAGCCCACTGGGCGTAGCAGCGCGGATGATTTGGGGGCTAGGTGAGTTGCATTATTCGAGGCGGCCCGCAGCTAGTATAGCCCTCTTCAGTACATTGTATTTATTTCCTGTCAATTGTATTCCGGACGGATGTTGTATTTTATTTCCTTATCAGTAGATGCTCATGCACTTGTGACACCGGGTTCTGGGATGGTTTGAAGTATTGTATTAACTGCTTATCATTTAAATTTGATTGAGACTATATTCTTTAAAATTGCTAAACTTGAAGGAAAAATCCTAGATTTCAAAAGTATTAAAAACGAGATTTTGATTAAGTAATTTTGTTGGCTTGCCTGACAGCAGTGTCCGGCGCCATCACGACCCTTAGTGGACTTTGGGTCGTGACATTGAACAAACTAATAGTCATTTTGTCGTTAGTGTTTGGGATGTAAACGTTGTTCATAAAAGATAAGAGCTCTACCTGAGTACTATAAATAATGTGAATAAAAAAAGGTGTGCTAAGCTAGGATACAAGTTCCTTTTATGGTTTGGTCAACAGTAAAATTACTAGAATACATCAAATCAATACCGTCTTATAATGTATATTTTTGCAGAGTATTAGGAATTCAAGATAATCTGGACATTAGTTCATGAGATGATTGAGAAAATAAAGCCTACAACTACAACGATATTTAATTTAATTTGTGGATATGTACTTGTGGAGAGAAAGGTTTGGCTACAAAATTAGTAGATATGTTTATAAAATCAAAGTTATTCAATTATAGATTTTAGGCATTAATTTACTGCAAATTTACAGTCCCTTATGGGTGTCATGAATGGTTGTATTAGCCAATGTTGGTTTAATGTCATCTTGCTGATATTTTATTCCACTTTTTTTTAGTTAGCTGATTTGTATGTTTTATGGTTTACAGACTTTATTTGTCCTGCTACTATCAGAGGGGATGCTTTTGGAAAAGAAAAGGCAACACAACCTTTA